GAAGTGCATCTTGCATCTGAAGAAGTGAGGTTCTTACCCACGAAAGCTTATGCTCCCAGTACTTCTGTTAGTCTCTAAGGTGCCACAGGACACTCTGTTGCTTTTTAATAAAAGTAAGTTTGCCATCCCACTAATATCATATTCACAGTCATACATTGTGCTTCCAATGCACCGCAATCCTGATCTGCAAGCTTTCCCTGATATTTCAGTGCCAAACCACCATACAACTCTGTTAATACACTTCATTATCACCCTGAAGCATCTCCTGCAATTCTAGTCCTTGACCTTTCTTGACCAGCAATAGTCAGTGGTACTATTGATATTTATCTGGCTCAGAAGTGGTGGTTATTTTCTCCTGGGATGAAACCCTGAGGCTTTAGCTTTCTGAACTTTTTTTTTCTAAATTTCTTACCATTTATTTTACAGGTAGAGTGTATTCCATGTAAAAACACATGTTTTCCTTTTATTTTGTAGCAGCAAACTTTGGTCTCATAGTGCTGATGGAAAGCTTTAGCAAAACATTTACACACATAACACAGTCCCATTGCCATCAATAGACTAAAGCATGTGCTTCAAGCAATGCCCATGCTTAAGTGCTTTGCTGAATCGGAACCGGAGCTAGCATATAAATTAATTGCAGACTTTTCATCTATCTGCAAGACTGCAAGGACACAGTAACAGTGTCTTTCTAAAAGAATCTGTGATCAAACTCTTTGAAACAAAAGCCTATTCTCTCCATTCCCATTTTACCTCAAACAAATCTATGTTTCTTGTGGAAGTGAGGAGACTAGCTTCCAACAAATATAATTTGAATAGATGTGGTGGAAGCGCTTCCTAAATAGTTCTGGAAATAGAATGTCAGTCTTTACTAGCAACACCGCTGCTATTCTAGGCCCTGATCCTGCAAACTCTTACATGAGTAGTCCCATTGATTTCAGTGAGACTACTCACACCAGTAAGGATTACTCACATGAAAGAGGAATTGTAGGATCAGGCCCTTAGCTGAGGAGCTCTTTTAAGCAGTGACAATTATCCAAAACTGTGGGTTGGTTTTGTAAAATGTGCAGAATACTGTAATTTCAGTGCAATGATAATTATAGACAATGCCATATGCCTGTGTGGTACGTACATTTCCCTTTAGTGGAGTTACATGAAGCATATTAAATAGGCTGAAGGAAACCTTAAAAAGACCCAAAAGCGTCAAGACAAAAATGTCATGTGTAACCAAGCTTGCAGCGTTAAGCAGAACTTTGAAAAGTGAATCTCTCAGGAAGACATTCTGAGCTTGAGCCGAGAATGGTAATAATCTGAAGGTAAAGCTAAGCATAGCTATGGTTAAAATATTTTTTCCATTTGTGCTTTACATGATCAGAATGGTGCCTTCATAATAAATAAAACACATGAAAAAAACAGATATATTTAGTGATAGAATGTTTTCATGGCCAGACTACACATTTCTGAAGTTCTCTATTATTTATTGGGCTGATCCTGTCCAAGGGGCTGAGTGTCTTTGAGGGGCTGAGTGCCCCTCAATTACTCTAGGCTTCCACACCTTGCAGAAGCAGGCTGTAGGTAAGGTATCAGTGGGGTGCTGAAGGGATAGCTCCACTTTACCTCCTTGCATTCCTAGACAGTCTCTGCTGATAAAAATCAGTTGGGAGGAAAGAACTAAGTGAACTTATTGCATAATGGAACTTAATTACTGTGCAATTAAATTTCAAATCACTCTCAGATGAATATCATATTGTCAACCTTTCAACATGTTTGCTGATATCCCAGTAATTAAATAACTTTGCCCTGGCAGAACAATTGTATAAAACTAAAGCACCAGCAGCTACTGTAGCCTGGCGGCATATTGGTATGGTGTACATTTCGGATGCATGCAATGATTAATTGACACATAAAAGGCCAGATGTAAACTGACATCGCTCAATTCACCTCACTGGAGCGGTGCTGGATTTTCACCAGCTGAGGATCAGGTCCTGCATCTCAAAACAGAATTTATAAACAGCCACAATAGGTTTTCCGGTACTGATGACCGCACCGGTTGCAGTGCAATGGAAAGACCAAAAGGGAGGTTTATTAAAGCAGGAATGGTTACTTTAAAGAGGTGTCTCATCTTTTCATTTTGATTTCTCTCTCTGCTCCAAGGAAACTGAAGCTTATCAGCACACACTTGCAATGGGCACCATGAAATCAAACAATAAAACAGCCGCGCTGGTTCTTAACTCTTCATCCCACTGAAGGCAACATGTTTCCGTGGAGGAACAAAAAGCCCTCCTCTGCATGTGCCTGCCAGCACTGGAGGATACAGGAGCCGAGAGAGATTACCCTGTGAAAGTGACCTCATTTTGCCTTAGAAAGCATATTCCAACAAACCGACCTTTGACGCCAGCCCCTATTATTCATGGTTAAGGAGCACAAAGGGAGAGGCGGGAGGGAGAAAATGTGACAAATCCACTTTTTTAAAACACACATCCATCAAAATACATGCAGGAAGGAGACAACAATCAATGAATCCACCCGCACATCTGCCCTGCCCTAGCTCCCAGATCCCCCCCGCTAAGGGAGGGCGATGCAAGGCAGGCGGGGGGCGGAGGCTGATGCATATGATCTCTCCCTTACCTTGAGGAACAAAAAGAGCCATAGCAGGGAGCGGAGGGTCATCCGGGTGCTGCTCCCTCCCTTCGGCCGGGGTCCGATCATTGAAGTGCAGCGGGAGTATTGCACGCAGAAATCTCAGCCGGGCTGCGGGGGTTTTCCCCCGGCTTTTCCTTCGGCTGGCTCCGAACTGTGGTTCGCAATGGCGAACTGCTGCAGCATCAGACGGTTCGAAGCACGGGCGTCCCTCCCAGGAGACACATCATGCCTCTCCTTCCCCTCTTCATGTGTTTTATTGGGGAAGAGCGGTGTGTATTTTTTCCAGCAGTTTCTTTGATCTCTTAATTAAAGGGGGGGTGTGAATCGATACTCTGCTGCGGCTGTGCTCCTCCTCCTCCTCTGGAGGTGCAGAAGGTGGTCAGCTGAGCCTCCAGTTTTCCTTTGCTCTGGTCCTTCCCTATTGGCTTTCAGTGAATGAATGAAGACTCCTCATTCCAGGCTCCAGGCTGAATGTGACGAGCAGCCTCCCATCCCTCTCTTCCCCACCCACTCTTAGCTCCACCCTTCCCCTCCCCCAAGCTCTGCCCCTGCTCCCAAACCAGGTCTCTCGTCGTGTACTTTCACCAGCCTGTTCTCTGGCTTGTCACTGTTCAGGCAAAAAACAAACACACAAAGCAAAATGCATCCTCAGCCCTTTCCCCCTGCCTCCCAACCAAGTTTGACAAGATGCTCATCTATCTTCCCCGACAAGCAACTGGCCAAAAGCACTCTCAATATGGTGCCCCACCCATTTCTTCGGAGCAAGGTAGTTTCAAACTACGCTGCCAGAGGAAGAAAAAAACAACAGGGTAAATATGGCTATAAAAACATAATTATTCCCTGTAGAGAGACCCACCCTGTCTCTTTAATATCCTAGCACCAGCACAGCTAGAAAAACACTGCAAATACTATACCCTGCCTAGGACATTATGGTGATTTCAGTCTATACTTTCCAAGGGAGGTTTCCATTCACTTGCCTCTGTCGACCTCCATCAAGAAACTGGTTTCTATTAATAACTGTCCCACACTTATAGTATCTGACAATAAGATTTAGTGTCTAATTATGGTCCTGATCCCAGTTTTGACTCTGTGCACATGGCCCCTGCACCCATGCAGATCACCCTAGACTTCTGGGTGGCTGCTCATAGTGCTTAAAGTTAAGCATGTGCATAATTTTTTTGTGGGATCCAGGCTTAAGTGCTTAATCATGTCAGGTGACGAGCATTAATTGTGGGTGCTCAACATCTTACAGGAGGTATTCAGGACATGCAGCAGGAAGCCCCAAATGCTCTAGTATCATTGCATCACCTGACCCACTAAAAAAAAAAGGGTGGGGGGGGATCCATTCAGACCTCCAGGAGGAAAAAGCTGTTCCCTAACCTAGGATTCGGAGAAGATTATAACATCCAGTTTATAGATCGGATTCCCTTTCACTTTGATGTAAATCATGAGTATCCTTATTGAAGCCAGTTGAGTTATAACCCATGTAGGCATGAGGAAAATCAGGCCACATAATGTAAATGTGCCGATATGGACTGATGGCACTGGACTGAATGGACTTTGTTATTGGACCTTGACCGCTTTCTACTTTTTGTCTGAGTGATCTACTGTTTTACATTTGGGCTGATACAGTGGCTGAATGCAAATGTTTTTGAAGTTTGTTTTGTTTCCTAATGTTCCAGAGTCACTAAAGCAGGATGTCGCCTACTAAATTAATGTGCCTACTAAATCCTGTGGATGAGTCCCTTAAAATAATCAATTAAAAGGTTGTTTTCTTGCAGCGCTATGAGTTAGATGATAATGACTCAGAGTTTAAAGGCTCTGTTTTAACTTCCATGCAGTTTCTCTCCAGTTTTCACATAAGGTGGGACTTGAGTCAACAGAAGCTCTGATTGCTATGATTCTGGAGCCAGATGAAGGTTTGGGGTTTTTTCTGGTGACTTAGGCACTTAAATGGTGCTAGCTGAATTATTTCCTGCACTTCATGGGGATTAGTCCAGAAAATAATGGGAAATTTAGGTAGCAGGCAGCTCCTGGGAAGCTGCCCACATTTAAAGCCCCAGAAGGAAATTGTTGTTTGCATCTTTATTTCTTAGTAGTTAGGAACAGAAAAGGCCTAATTACACAGAGCACCATCTACCAGTGCAGGATATAGGTCCAATGAGTGTGTCAGGCTATGGGGCATTATCTGGAACCCGTTAACAAAAAGGTAACTCCAGCTCAGCGTTTCCTTTCCTTATACACAGGTGTTCAGGGCAATGGTTTAAAAGAGTGGCTGCTTGAAAGACGGGGGGGGGGGCAGTGAATACTTTTGGGAAGGTAGAAGTCTTATATCATGGTATAGGGGAGTACAATGAACTTCAGAACTTAAGAGACATTCTGCAGCTGGTAAATTATTGTAGTGGTGATAAACATCTAACCCTTGAGGGAAAGAGCTTACTGACTTGCTTTTCTGGGCAAATCATTCCCCAAGTTTACAATCAGATAGCAAGCAGATATTATATTTGATATGGCCTGAAATTAAGAGAAAATCCAAGAGATCTCACCTGACACTGAAAAATCTTCCTTCCTTACTGTTCTCCATATACCCCATTGGTGTCTCAAAACAACACTCTCAGAAGCAACAGTGAAAGAAAGTTGAATGAAATGAGAATTGCTTCAGGAATAAGGATACCTTAGGTAAGGGACTTGGGTAAGACTTCTATAGTTATAAGACTTGGGTAAGCCAACTCACAGCCCAACATGAGAGACTGGGCTATGATGACTTTGCACCTTCCTAGTTGGAGCTGGCAGATAGCCCTACCCAGAATCTCTACAATGTGTCCCTCCCACCCTACCCCCTATGCTGGAATTTGTGGTCCTTAGCAAACAGTCTTATGGCTGTCCTCCACCATGCTTGTGCCTGGGGAATTCTCCCCAAGCCAAATACAGGGCTTTTAGGGCCCCTTTACACCACACTAGTCCTTTTATCTCATGTAAAGGGGCTGAAGAAGGGGCATTTCATGAAGAACTTTCATGTTTTGCACTGCCACTACAGTATAACCCCCCCCCCCTCATCTTATACCCTTCTGAAATCAGTGGGGGTTAAGGGTATTCAGCATCTCTCCAGTGATCAAGCTAGTGTGTGTATATAACTGGAATCCACAGGAGATGATCATTTTAATTATTTGTATTAAGGTAGCCCCCCCGAGACCAATCAAGATCAGGACACTATTGTGCTAGGCACTATATAAGCACAGAGTAATAGGCAGTGGCTGCCTGGAAGAGCTTGCAATCTAAACAGAGAAGACAGACAAAGGGTAGGGGAAAGGAACGTGACATCTGAGCAGAGTGAACAAAGCGAAGGTTGGCAACCTATGGAGGTCAGTCATGTTAGGTCCATGGTTTTTGGTGACTGTTCCCTGGAAAGTCTTGGTAAGCAACTGAAAAATTGCAAGAAGATGAGATGTCAGGGAGTAATAAAGAGACATAAGACCTGTTTGAATGGGAGGTGAGAAAAATAAATTCACAAGAAAAAACCCTTACTCTATTACTCTATTTTTTCTTTTAGCATCTGAGCAATAAAACAGAAATAAATGAGTCTGTTTCTGAATAAAACAATAAGACAAAATAATTAATGAGAACCTTTATGATACCACAATTTCAAGCAGAATAATCATTAGAACAATGTTCTGTAACAGTGTGCAGTATAGTTAAAAGGTACTGATGAGCAACTACCAAAAAATACTTCATGACAAATAGCAGCTACCCACTGTGTACAGAAGAAATGCTATACTGACAGTTTGAAAGGCAATACACTGTAAAGCCTGCAATGCCCCCACATAATCCTGGGGGAAAATAACAAGCAAGAGACCGAGAAGGCAGTACTGTATTCCCAGTTATTGATTGGTCCTTAAATAAAATGATTGAGAAAGATCCTGAACCTCCACTCTGGCCCCTTTGTACTGCTTCTTGTAGTGTTTTAACAGGGCAGCTGGGGATCCCCGATTCTCAGAGGAAAATCCCTAGTTCACATAAAGTTGACATCAGCAACTTTATGCCACCTTTCCCAGGGTGTACCGGGCATGAAAGGTGGCAGGCTGGGGATGGGAGATAGCATGCTGTGCTTTGGCAAACCCAATTGGCATAATCTTCCCTAGGAGTTTGTTACAAACCCAAGCAAGTTACAGCAACCCTCCTCAGATACACCAGGCAGAACTTTAGTGCACTTTAGAATATGGGCCAGTGGAACTTGATATGAATTTTATTGGTTATGGCTAAGGTTGTCACAGATATTTTTAGTAAAAGTCACGGACAGGTCACGGGCAATAATGAAAAATTCACGGAAGCCTGTGACCTGTCCGTGACTTTTACTAAAAATATCCATGACAAAAGGGGAGCCTGGGGAGCTGTGGGCGGGCTGGGATCTCTATGGGTCCCCACCATCCCTGGGGGCTCAGAGCTCCAGGGTCCCTCTCCTCTGGTGGCTCCGAGCTGCAGGGGTTCCCTCTGCCACCCGCAGCTACCGGGAGCCTCCCCTGGCACCGATGGAGGCAGAGAGCTCCGGGGGTTCCCCAGCCACCCGCGGTGGATGGGAGCAGCAGGGGTCCCTCTTTCCACCCACAGAGGTGGAGAGTATCAGGGGTCCCCCCTGCTGCCTACGATGGCTGGGAGCGGAGGGGGGGGTCCGCCTGCCACCTGCAGCATCCAGAAGCTGTGGGGGATTCCCGCCGCCAGGCAGGGGACCCTGCAGTTCCCAGCCGGGGCTGGCTGAAGTCACAGAGGTCTTTGGAAGTAACACATTCTGTGACTTCTGTGACCTCAGTGACTAAATTGCAGCCTTAGTTACGGCTAAGGCTAAGATTTTGTCATGGATATTTTTAGTAAACGTCACAGACAGGTCACGGGCAATAAAGAAAAATTCATGGATGCTTGTGACCTGTCCATGACATTTACTAAAAACATCTATGTCAAAGTGGGGAGCTCAGCTGTGGGGTCCCCACACCACCCGCAGCAGCTAAGGAGCCGCGGGGACCCGGCAGAGTTCTAGGGTCCTCCTGCTGCCTGTGGCAGCCAGGAACTGTGGGGAGCTCCTGCCACCCGCAGCAGGGGTACCCCACAGCTCCCAGCCACCCTGGGGGGACCCTGCAGCACCCACCAGCCACAGCTGTTCCCCCCCACTCATCAGTTGATGGGGGCTGCATGGCCACCAAACAGCTGATTGGAGGAGCCTCCACCCCCTATCAGCTGGTGGGGCTCAGTACCACCATCAAACAGCTCTTTAGCAGCTCGGGGAGGGGCTTGGGAAAGGGCAGAGAGTTGGGGGAGGAAGGGGAGGGAGTGGGGGTGGGAAGAGGCAGAGCGAAAACAGGGCCTTAGGGGAAGGGGCAGAGTGATGGTTGAGCACTTCTGGGGAAAAGAAAAAATCAGCGCCTATGCCTGTCATATAAGACAATAAATTTGCAAGCAAAGATCTGTAAATCTGTATTTATTCATGCCA